GGGTAATTATCCCTAACAGTCAATTTGTTTAATGCTCGGTAATCTACACACATTCGGACCTTTCCGTTCTTCTTAACCAGCACTATGGCTGACGCATAAGGTGAATCGCTAGGGTTTGTACTTGGTTTCTCTCAGCGTACGAAAGTCGTCGGGGCGCGCAATGGAAAGGTACGCCAGTCGTCAAGTGTATCTTCATTTCGTATTTAAATGGTTCGGGTGTCACTTCCGGTTTAAGATATGTGTTAACGATAAGTCGTTCCAAGTCATTTCTTTGATTACCGGTCAGTCTAGTGCCTAAGTCTATGTCGTTTCCACCGTGGGGAACGTCAATGCAAAATATCTCAGGTACGTCAGCGGCGGCAGCTACGTCAACGGCAGTAGGTATGTCAGTGGCAGCAGGTACATCAGCTGCGACAGGCACGTCAACGACGGCAGGTACGTCGTCAGGCTTATTATGGCAATCAATGGTAACGTCGCGTACCGTTACGTCTTGATCTTTAGCGTATTTTAATTCGTCTAATTTCATGACGGCCGAGTGTGCGTTGGGATCAGTTACAAACTTCTCAGACTTATACAAACTATGGTCGGTAACATTTATTATTTCGAGCAATTTTTCCTTAGTGGGCCTATCTGTTGCGCTAGTCAGACAAATGTTAAACTTATTGGGGAAATCACGTCCCAAAATAACTGGCAAATTTATGCTTTTGTCTTTAATAACATTTAATTCAATTTCGTTTTTTTGTTCAAGAATTCAATAGTACATTTCATTTTATAAAGTATTTTAATTTTGCTTCCACCGATGCCTTTATAACTGGGGCCTCTATCAACCATATGTTTTGTCCCTAGTTGTTTTGGGACCAGTGATGCCTTTACAAAACTAATCGGACTGCCAGTATCGAAAAGAGAGGGTACCCTATAAGTAATTGGAACCGTAAGTGTCTTAAAAGCTATACTCACAGAGTTAAAAGCGCCAATTGCACCTGGTTGGTCATCTTCATCCTCGGCAACAGTGGCTACTTCGCGTCTCTTCAGAAGCTTTGCTGGATTTGGACATGACCTGAAGCAGGAACCATCCGGTCTTAGTGGGAATGGGCAGTTTGGTTTTATGTGCCCGTTCCGGGAGCAGTTGAATCACATCAGCTTCAAATCGTCCGTTTGTTTCGGCGCCGTTGTCTGCCGCTGGTTAGATGGCTGCACCGCCCCGGTCACGGAATATTTGTGTTGGTACCGGTTTATAAGGGTTTTTAATTTCTCTACGCTTCGTGCCGTCATCAGGATGTGGGCATGCGGGGTAGTGTTCCCGATGCCGTCTATTATGAAGTCTATCAGCTCCGTATCGGCGATATTGGCGCGCTTCGCAATGGCCTGCATGGTTAGCGTGTAGCAGTGGAGCATCTCCTCTTTCCTCTTCCAGCGTCGCTGCGACAGCATTTTGTACACTTCTTGCCTTGTGATTCCCACGTCGAATTCGCTTGATAGCGCTGCTTTTAGCGCCTGGTAATTTAGGGCGGCCGTGGTCGATAAAAATACCTTCGCTGTGCCTGTTAGGGA